AATTTACATATATAAATTATTAGAATAAAGATAAGTTAACTAACTAAAATAACTATAAATAGTAATAATATATAATATATAGTAACTTATATGTGGTCTCAAACCACGATCTGTGGTCCCAACCACGATCTGTGGTTCCAAACCCACAGCCACTAACAATAATGACAATCAAGTAATAGTAGACTACATTTATCTGCGTAACGTCAAAAATCTTCGTATAAAGGCTGATCTAACTCCGATAAATTCCGTCCCAGAATTTTGTTGCGCTAATCTCTTCTAAATAAATGTTTTGAAATTACCAGAACCAATAACGTATAATAGAGGCCAAGTCGATATATATTGTAGTGAATCGATTACATGTTTTTCACTACTATCATTCTTTTATTCGTATAGGGCAGCATTTAAACGTATTACAGTATTATAATTAATACATCAATTAAACAAGTTTTGGACCAGTGTGATGAACTCGTTCCCAACTGGTTCTGGACTGGGCTGGAACTAGACTAGACAGGACATTAAGTTTATGCTTATTTCTAATTAATATTTTTATCGCTATGCTACGTTTATTCTTTAGATTTGCTCATCAATTATAAATTCTTGTAATCATACGATATGTACACGGCATTATGTATGCAATTTATCTTTTTTTTTCACATGTGTATAAGCCACCAGGTCACTTGTCGTTTCTGGACTTGTAAACGGGGATGAAACATCCTCTTTTAAAATAAAGTTTACAGATAACGATAATGTAAATATGAAAACTGTAAATAATGGGGTCTTTGCCTTGAAAATCAAGTTTGATCATATGATTTACTATGTCCCGTAAGGTCATATTCAAGGCAAAGACCCCAAATATGAAAACCATGTAAATAAATAAAAGATGGATGTATTTTTCAATCATTACACTATTCGTTTAGTTCTGTTGTTAGTTGAAACAAATAGATTTTCATTACAGTGCATTTATTTAACGCTAGTAAGCTTTCACAAATTTTTATACATATTAGTTGTAGTATGTAGCACAAAAAACCACATAAAGGCGATAATTTGTTATGCATGAGTTTACATTTAGCGATAGATTTTGAACGTGCTTTAATGATTGGTGATCAGTTTATAATAAATATACTTTAATATGTAAGCATGCACAACGCAATTTCTAATATTCTAACTTATTTCTTGTATAATCAAAATGTTTAATGAAACAAAGCTAACTGATATTAACAATAAATCGCTTGATAAACATATTTTCAAAGCTTCTGAAAACCAAAATAGTAATACTTTTCACTCATCTTATTCATTTTTAGATGATGGTGGATATCGAAATATTTTGAATCAAGCCGTTGAAGAATTATGTAACCTGTACGATGAAGAAGAAATGAAAGGAAATTACGCAGCATCAGTTTTGAATTTAATGGATAAATTTTTAGCAAGCAGACAATTAAAACCAGAAGAATTAATTAACTGGTGTTTAAATAATAAGACCAATCCTAAAATTCAAAACATAATTGCGTTTTGTTATTATTTGGGAAGGTGGGTTAAAAGGGATGAACGTAAAACATTTATTCATTATCAAAGATTAACTGATATAGGAAATTCTACCGGAATGAATAATCTCGGATATTGTTATCAATTTGGGATTGGTGTAAAAAAGGATGAACATAAAGCATTTATTTATTTTCAAAAATCAGCTGAAATGAAAAATGCTTATGGAATAAGTGGACTTAGTTATTGTTATCAATGCGGGATCGGGGTTAAAAAAGATTTGCAAAAAGCATTTCGTTATTGTAAAGAGTCAGCAAAAATGGGACATCCCATTGGAATATTTGATCTTGGTCGTTGTTATGAAAATGGAATAGGTGTAAAAATGGATAAACGTATGGCATTTAATTATTATCAAAAATCTGCGGCGATGGGAAATGCTGGTGGAATATCTCAAGTCGGTTTTTGTTATCAGAATGGAATTGGAGTTGAAAAGGATGAATATAAGGCATTCATTCATTTTCAAAAATCTGCTAATATGGGAAATTCTACCGGTATGAACAATCTTGGTTATTGTTATCTAAATGGGATTGGTGTTGAGAAAGATGAAACTATGGCATTTATTCATTATCAAAAATCAGCTGAAATGGGTGATTCTGCTGGGATGAATAGCCTTGGATATTGTTACAAAAATGGAATTGGAATTGGAGAGAATAAGCAAAATGCATTTATTTGCTTTCAAAAATCAGCAGAAATGGGGCATGCAGATGGAATTTATAGTCTCAGCAATTGTTACCTAAACGGTGTAGGGGTTGAAAAGGATGAATATAAAGCTTTCGTACATTATCGAAAATTAGCAGAAATGAGGCATGCAAATTGAATGATTTTTTACTTATTTATTATTTAGAACATTTTTAAATAGAATTAACGTTTATTTGTAATTCTGACTTCATGTTGGCTCGGTAAATTGACAAACGCCTATTGAGAATAAGATAGAAAGATCATAAGTTTTACATTGGTATTTGTTGTCATCAGTAGTAATTAGAACAATGTGGTTCAAACCAACAAACAATTGTTTGGGATCCAAATCAGTGTTGTACATTTTGGACGCACAAAGTCTTTTTTGACCATGCTAAGACGTCCAAATGTCCAAGTTTTTATCATGTCACAAGCCTCAAATATTTTAGCAAGTAAACTTATTGTATTCTTCGTTTAATTCTAAAGATTTTAATTAACACGTACTGTATTGTTTGAAAATCATATTCAATTACATTAGTACGTAACAGGTTGTTCCAGATAGATGGAAATCATCCGATTATGTCCCAAAATAAATAAAATTTTTAATGTAAATTATTCCGAAAGTGTTCCTAAAAATTTTTTAATAAAGCTATAACCCTGATACATTCAGATTAAAATTTATATTGTCTGATAAACAAAGCTTGTTATTTTAATTTTATGATCATTTTTATATCTATTACTTATTGGCAACTATATTAACAAAAAAAAAACATCGCTATATCAAATTAAAAATTCAAAGTCGGATATAATTTAGCTTGTAGGTATTATAGGCTAAATTTGTTTTGTTTAGATCGTTCTCAAATTCCGGATCGGGGATCAGTTTTTAATTTGTGGAAAATAATTTAGCCGATCATGTGAGTTCATAATCGCAATTAAAAATTTTCTACGATACATCCGGGCTGAGTTTTCCAAGTTCTGATTAAAATAAACACCGCCAGAGAAAAAGCAGCTTCCCTACGGCAAAAGAGAGCTTCTAGGAAACTTGGGCCAATTTAGCCAAAGAATTAATCCCTCATCCGTTACCTATTACCCACCTGATACGTATATAGACTGACCTTAACCTTAATAAACTCCAGCCAAACCTTCCATGCTCTCTTTCGAAGCCTTCCACTAATTAGGTTAGTTTAGTAGTGTTTGTAGATATATTAGCGGTGTGACCATCGTTCCTCCTATCCTCAGATCCCAAATTATTTTCGTTTTCTACAGGGGACAGTGTTTAAAATTAGCACAAGATTCATAATGCATCTAATTTTTTAGTATGCATGGAAAATTAATTTTGTTTCACAAAAATTTTTATAAAATTACTTGTTACACAAACTTTCAAATTTTTGCATTGAATTTTAAACATTACATAGGAGTAGTGCGCTCAAGCTACCTTAGTAAGATCATAAAAAAAATGAGATGCACTAATCAGAATCGATTAGTTGTCATATCTAAAACCTTGTTGTGAGTTCTCTGATTAAAGTTTCTAGTCATATAATACAGTAGTACGTGACAATCTTTGCCGATCACTTTATTAATTATGCTATTTAAATTTACACGAGCTATCTTTTGATGATTTTATTTATGATTGTTCTAATGTTAGATCGCACAAATTTATAATAACAGATAAGATCACAAATTTTTATTGGTATAATTTGTGTCCCAAACATATTTTCGTATTATGAAAGATATGATAAATAAATTCTTGGATTAATTTGGTATAGACGTTAACAATAGTTCTCCATTCTCATTAGGATCATATGTATCTACTTTTCATGAAATGACTTTGTAACTTTATATAGTAGTCCATAATTCGGCTCTGCATAACAAATATAAAATTAGAGAAACAAACATGTAAAAAAATAAACGCCAATTAGCACTGCTTATTAATAAATACTCAAAGTACTATATATAGAACTAGGTATTATCCTGGACGCAATTCATATAAAAAGTACTAAGATAATATAGTTACACCTCAGATATTATTCAGGAATTAGGTTTACAGGTAGGTAATACCCAGTTTTAATCATGAGGATAACTGCAAAATAATTTAGTAATTAAGACCTGTATCTTGAAAATTAATTTTTTTTTATTTTTTTATTTCTTCATAGAACATATGCTTAATCTACACTTTCGGGAATTGTAAATTTTGTTAAAATGTTTACAAGGTATAAACCTCCTTTTGGACAGTGCATTACATAAATTAAGTAGCTGCGCAATATTTGCACCAAACTAGGAACGGAAGAGCATAATTGAATATATTATTCTAAATTATTCTAATGCAATCTATACTAGACATAATTATCGTGCAAATAAAATTTCATTGATTTCAAATATTAGAAGATTCTAAAATTGATCTAAAAATGTATTCATTTTTAAAATCAATTAAATTTAGATTCAATCATTGTTATTCGGTTTACATCATATTTAGGGCTGTTAATATATTCAGATCTATGATCTAGACAGATCCAAAGACTGCTAATATATGGTCTAGGATCAGATCAGATAGACATATTTGTCAATTAGAGACGAGAGTTTATTAAATAATACCAGGAACGAAATGTAGTGTTGTTCTCTATTTCGGCGAGTCAGTCGCTCAATTTTATAGATCTTCATATGACGTACTAGGATAACTTATCGAATGAGGCGTTTAGATTTGGCAAAGGGATTTCCAAGGCTTCGGTTATCATTCTGAACTCTGGTCATGTGGTTGGTCTTCTTAGCGTTATTGAGTTTCTAACTTCCCTTAATCTACTTAAACTGACCTATCCACTCTCTTAGGCAGTGATGGTAAATGACTAGGTCATTTGCTCAAATGACTAATGACCTCAATAATGACCAGGTCATTAGGTCATTTTGGTCATTTACATATAAAGTAATTTTATTAGTCAGAAGCTAATATAAAAATTATCAGACACTATTATTTCACTAATTGATAATCGTAGCTACATATAAAAGTCAAAATTTATTAAGTTAATCGATATTTATGTATTAAGCAAAGTTGTTCGAAAGAATAAATAACATATATCTTGAAGATTTCAAGTAATTCCAATAACTTTTTATTATGTCTTCTTTATGTTTTACGTTTGTACGAAAAAATTTAATATTTTTTTATACAAACATAATACGTAAAGAAGACTTAATAAAAAGTTATTTGAATTACTTGAAATCTTCAAGATATATGCAATTTATTCCTCTAAACAACTTTTCTTAATACATAAATATCGATTAACTTAGTAAAATTTTAATTTTTATATGCAGCTACGATTATAAATCATATTTTCTAAAATTAAATTTTGTTTAATAATCAATTTTGATTGGTCAAAAGACATTAGATTATCAGTTAACAAAAGTTAAATGACCTTCTAAGGTCATTTGAGTTTTGAAATGACTAATGACTGGTCATTTGTCATTTGAGTCATTTGGGTCATTTCAAGTCATTTACCATCACTGCTCTTAGAATAGACAAACACAAGATTAAACAAGCAAATTCTTTTTTACTTGATATTATTATGTTAATTATTTTTATTTGAAGAGTAAATTAGGTATTATGATATTATCACAGAACAAGTTTATTAACTTAGCAAATACAAGTTAGAATTATAAGTGAATTTATTGTGTTAAAAGAAAGGTTTAGGACTTTTTTATAGATAAAATATTTTATCAATTAAGCAATATCTTTATTTTTTTAAAAAAATTTCAACTTATAGATTGAGATAAAGTCTTATCTTTATCTTTATTTTTATAAGTTATAGTTAAGAGTTTATATAAAACTACTTAGTAATAAATTATATACAAGAATTAAAGTTTAAATAATAACAAAATAGTCAAGACTAAAGTAAGTATTAAAGCTAAAGTTAAATTAGAATTATTTATAATCTAAACTTACTAGAATAGTCAAGATTCACTTAGATTTGATTAGAAAGAATAGAGTTTGTAGAGAAGTTATATTTATCTAGATTTTCTATAGTATAGGTAAGTAAATTATAATTATTATAAAATAATAATATAAAAACTATTTATTTTAAGTTAGTTTAAATTATAAATTTTAATACTAATCTTAACTCTAATTAAACTTAAATTAGTTAAAATAGATAATTATTTATATTATAATTTTATAATAATTATATTTGCTTATCTATATTATAATTCAATCTTTGATCTAATATGTTGGCTAAGTAGAAAGTTTTTATATATCAAGTTTAGTTAGTAAGATTTAGTTATATTAAGAAAGAGAATTATATAAGTTATATAGTTTTTGAGATATAAGAAGGTTGTTAATTGTTTCTGTAATTTTGTTAGGAGTTTGAGTATAGTATATAAATATTGTATTATTAATTCTAATTTGCAAATTAAAAACAATAAAGTAACTATAATTGTTCATAGATTTTTGAGTTAAACTTAAGAAATAGTTTACTATTAAACTAAACTTGAACCTAAATCTAACAAAAATTTAACTCAGTTTAGATTTATAGGAATACTACTTTTAATAAAACATAATTAATAATAAACTCAGAAATATTATTAGACATATATAACAAGCAACTCATATAGCTATATAGCATTCATAATAAAAAATAGTAAACTAGAATATTAGATACTATTACTAACTAGATATTGTCAAATGGGAATTCACCTCTTCTAGAGTTCCCAGAGACTGCTGATTATAGTATGAAGACTATAACTTTATAGCTTGTTATATGGCATCTAGAATTAAAACTTAACAAAGAGGTTTTTGTAGTGATTTATGTTAGAGCTAAGAGGCAAATAATAAATAGTATATGAAGATACTAAG